AGGGCAGGGGAGAGGGAGAGAGGGAGAGTTTGAGCCTCACCTGACCAGGTTAACTCCTGCCTCTGTGCTCGGGGATCACTTCTGACGAAGATCAGGGGAACTATATATGGTCTGGGATCAAACCTGAGTCAGCTGTATGCAAGGTAAGCACCTTATCCACTGTATTTTCTCCTTGTCCCCTTAATGTTTTCTTTTTCTTTTTTTTTTTTTTTCAGTTTTGAGAACACACCCAGGGATGCTAGGGCTTCCTCCTGACTGTGCTCAGGGAGCACTCTTGGTGGTGCTTGGGGTACCATAAGCACAGCTGGGGATAAAACCCAGGTCAGCTGCATGCAAGAAAAGTACCTTAACACCTGTCCTATCTCTTAGACCCCAAGATCTTGACTCTTCATGGGGGAGAGATACGCCAGGAGTCCACGAAACACATATGCCCATGCCCCCCTGCCTGAATACACACACACACACACACACACGTACATCTACAGATTCGCTTTTGCAAATAAATCTGTTCTTGTTTTAGGGCTACTCCTGGCTTTGCACTCAGGAATTACTCCTGGTGGTACTCGGGGACCCTATGGGAGGTTGGGGATCAAACCCGCGTCAACCACATGCAAGGCAAACAATATATCCACTCTACGATCGCTCCGGCCCCTGCTTTTGCAAATAATATTAAAACCACTTTTTATTAAGTACTCTAGCATGCAGTGGGGTGGGGAAGCGGGGAGCAGTAGGTCTGGGGAATGAGTCCAATTACAGCTGCATCGTTTTCTGGGTCAACTAGAATTGTGCAAAAGTTTTCAGCCTATAAAAAGAAAAGCAGAGACTCAGTCTAATTCTAGTTTCAGCTCCTTTCCCCCAGCTGCCCTTTACCCAGCCGAGTAGTTGCGCTGTGTCCACTGAACACGGGGTTTCATTTCCAAGAATTACCACTGAAAGCAATAATAATGCACTGACACGTTGATCGGTTTTATTTCAGGAAATATGGCCGAGGATTTAGGTTCTGCCTTCCCCCCTCTAATCCTTAGGGGGAATCCCTTCTCCACAATGCACCCCACTAGGTTGATAGAGCAAATATAAGACTATATATTATAGTTATATAGGAACTATATAACTATACAGAGTTATAAATATTTATAAGACCTAAAAAATCTGGTTCTGGGCTGGATGAGTTAAGATCCAGATAAAGACACTACTGCAAATCCACTTTCCTAGTTGACAGCAAAGCTCTACACTGATCAAGGAGATCTGACAAGAGGGAACCACAGTGCTACCCACCCCACCGCCAGCCCCTTTTTCTTCTTTCTCTCCTTGAGATCAGGGAAATCCTCACCAGAAATTCCAGACTAACGCATATTTAATCACAGTAACCTCTATTCCTTTCTTAAATATTGTCTTAATTTCCCCCGAGCAAGCCAGAGCAAGTTTACATTAGCATCCATGTGTGTCAAACCATAGATAACCCCTTCATTAAGATGAGGCCACCTGCTCAACAAAATTGAAATTCATTTGTGTCATCCAGAGCTAGTCAAAACAAAACAGGATACTTTTATCAGAAAGAAATAAAAAACAGAGCTTCCAGAACAGCCCATCCGATAAAAACATTTATTGAAGGATGCCTTTCTGGCCTAAGAGACCACTACCAGTCACATCACACAAGAACTGGATTAAGGCCAATGCAAAGGTTCACCTGGACCCTGACCCAGTCAGCATCACTGCTAAACAGTGGAGGACACAAGTAGGGCCACCAGGAGCCAGGAAAGGCCAAACTGCAAAACATGTTCTGACAGTTATTACAAATACATCCTCTGAGAAGCCACTTGAAAATCAACGTCACCAAAAATCCTTGGCTCGGGAGCTTCTTGTCACTTTACTACCCAAATCTGTTCAAATTCATAGAGAAGTTAAGGATGAAGTTTTCCACTATTCTCGCCCCCCCCCATCCCACCTCACCCCACCCCACCCCACCCACCGCCCGGATGAAATGAGGGGAAACAATGACCAACACATGAATCTATTTGAAACCATTTTATGAATTTTAATCATAGCAAATGTGTTTGAACAGTAGTCATAAAATCAACATTACCACATATACAAAGGACAAGACACCAGTTTGGCATACAAAAATACCATATATTAAAATCGGGTTCATTGGAAAACTCAGGACTTGCTAAGACACCATCTACAACAGAGAGAGCAAGCAAGAATGCTTTAAAGACATTCAGAGTTAAAAACAGCAGCTTGATATCCCCCTTATGAAGTCAATATTTGGCAACATTGGGACAATATTTTCTACACAGCCCAGTAGCTCATTTATCTGTAGGGTGATTTTTGGCCCTTTAAAAAAGAAAAGCTCCTAAAATCCATAATCCACATAATTGTAAGCGAAACATGTCCAGAACTTGAGTTATCAGCCTGGGAGCAGCGTTCATCTAAGTCATCAGGCTGGAGAACGAGTTACCAATAGGGTCGAGGGCGACCACAGCAGTCGTAAGAACGGTGGGAATCCCAGGCGGCAGGTGCAGGGCTATGTGAGGAGTTGCCATCCACCCCAAGGTGACACTAGCCACCAATACCCCACCCTACCACCAGCACTTGGGCCACCGTCAAGTGAAACAGGAGCAAGTGGTAGAATCAACGTATGACCACCACTGGGAGAGGAACAAAAATATTCCACTCGTCTTCCCGACAGTGCCCGTGAACTCAAGTGAAGGTCCTTGCCATGGTTCTATGGTTTCGAGGATGCTAGAATTTGTGGGGGGCTCAGCACCACAACTCCAGAGCAGCCTGTCTAGTAACCTGGTGTGCCCACAATGACAGAAGGCCTCCCTGGACCCCCTCATCAACTGACCACACTCCTCCTGTAACTTTTTAACATCCCAAATTGAGTGACAGGCCACAGGTGTGAGAGAGGACACCCGTGCCTCGCAGAATCATTGCTGGTGGGCCTGTGTTTTTCTTTTGTGTTTCCGTGGTGACTGACCTTCAGCTCCTATTCCATCTGAAGAAAACAAAAAAACGGTGGTTTGTTTTGCGTTGTTGTTGTTGTTGTCACACCCAGCTGCGCCCAGGGTTTACTCCTGGCTCTGTGCTCAGGGAATCACTCCTGGTGAAGTTCACAGGATCATGTGCTGCTGGGGAATGAACTCGGGTGGGCTGTGGGCAAGTAAAGCACCCTACCCATTGTGTTTGTTCTCTATCCCTTCATCTTGGAACTAAGAGTTCCATGATGGGTATTCCTCCCTCTATGGAGGGCTTCTCTCGCTGAGAATGTGTGCCACGCTGTGGCTGTAGAACCAAGGCCGTATCTACACCTTCCCCCACAGTAAGAACTGCTTCATGGATGGAGTGTCCCTCAGGCAGGAAAATCTGGTCAGGAATGTTTTGAAGCCCTGTTAAGAGACACCAGCTACTGTGTTTCCTGCGCTTTTTAGAGATGATCTAGGCAGCAACTAGCAGAGTGATACTACAGCTGGTAATGTGTTTACCTTGCACATGACCAACCTAGGTTCAATCCCCAGCACCCCATATTCCCCTGAGCCCACTGGGAATGATCCCTGAGCACACAGCCAGGATTAAGCCCTAAGCACTGCTGGGTATGGCCCCAAAACCAAAACAAATAGTTTAAAGGGTGTGTGTGTCAACTACTTCCCTCTTCTAACAGTCTGTGTGCTCCTTTGGCACCATCATATTCAACTGTCTACTTCTAGATTCTCAAAATGCAAATATCAAACTTAAAACTAAACATCCCTATAGCAAACTCACTCCCTCTGGAGACTCTAAGGAGCTTTCCTGTAGGTTCCTAGCCCTCGTTCCCATCGTGATGACTTTAGAACATGTTCCAGAAAAACAGGGCTAGCCGACTGAGAACCACTCCCCAAAAAAAAAAAGAAAATACCTAGTATTGTAGACTTCAAGATAGCCCTCAGTTCTTTGCCCCAAGTATTACTAATTGTCCCTAAAAAGATCATAATATGAACAGTATCAAAAACCTTAGACTAGAACAACAAAGTCCAGCTAATGAGATGAGAATTTTCAAGCACCACTACATCGTAAGTGAGATATACTTAGTGGGATACCCCAGGCAGTGAGTTCGGAAAAACAAAATCATTTGGCCTGAAAGTACAAGGAAATCTGAGCAGAAAATTGGAGCCACATTGCAAGAGTTTAGGAATAATGGTGCTCTATATATACAACCACTTCAGCAGAGTCAACCAATAAGCTCTTGTGTACAACAGAGCTATTTTGTTAGCTATTTTGCAAAACAGAAGTTAAACCCCCACCTGCTTTTTCCCTCAATGATCAGCGGCTTTCTACTATAATGTATACAGTGGAACAATCTCTTCATATAAATGAAAGTTTAGACAGAGACACACCAAAAGGTGGCTGGTAAGGCCTAATGTCCACAGCATTTAAAATAGGTGAGCATCTCAAGACAGTGTTACATAACCCCCAAACTGGAAAGCATTAAGTTTTTATACTTGATTTTGAACTCCAATTACCACTGTGTATTTGCATTACATAGATTTCTATACAGATTCACATGGTGAATCAATTATGTCAGAGAAATCAAAAGGTTAAAGTTTCACTTATTTTGTAGACGTGTTTGATGTCGATAAAGTTCAGACCCACAAGACGTCAGCATCTCTGTTGAAATAGACTACTACTTTCAAAACAGTGACTAGGTCATGTTGACATTGCTTTCCTTTTATGGAGTTTCTGTTTGGGTGAGGATTGCCTTACGGGGGATATTGGGCTGAAATGGACTAACTGGCAAAAATCAGCTTCTCCGTGTCAGGGTGACAATATTCATGTCGAAACTCAATGCTGACTTATCAGCAGCAGTATCTTCATAAAGAAAAATAGAAATTCAAACCTTTGGCATTTTATCCCTCTCATCTCAATAAACATGGAACCTTTCACTTCCTAGTGAACCTAAAGAAAAATTACCATTTTTGCCAAAAAACAACCCCACCCCCACACCCCCCAAATCCCAAGAACTTTTGAAGACAGGCTGAAAAGAATAAGTCATATTCATTGATGAGTTCAATGGCAAAAAAATAAAAAGCCTACCCAATTCTGCCCAACAAAATGGTTTACAGAGTAAAGCACACTAACCAATTGTGACATGGTTTAGGTCTTCACATTTAAAAATCTAGATGAGAATAAATTCAGGAAGAGTCAAATCTCTAAAAGCAGATCTCAAGCTGAATTTCCTGTTTCCCTTTACTCAATTAAAAAACAATTTTATTACCTTAAATAACCCTTAAGTCTTTAAATTCCAAACTAATGTTTTTGTTTTTTAATGCCTTTGGACAAGGCTCTAAATCTCCAATTCGGTAATAACTTAAATAAAAACCCAATAAGACTAAAACAATGTTGAAGCTCACTCTGAAAATATTACTTTTGTTTTCATCTGGCATCAGTAAAAAGATGTGGACATTTGCCCACTCCTTATACAAAGACAAGCTGTCTGACTTCAAGGGCAAATGGAAACACTATGAATCTAAGAAACATGCTTGCTCTTGTATATCACACCTCACTGATGCAGCAATGAAGTTTGGGTCAGATGTCAGATGTGAACAGGGATTTCATTAGACCTTATTTTTACCTACAACATTTACTTTTTGGCCACAAGACCCTAAACATAATATCACAGTACAGGTCATGCATAGCTGGCAAGTCAAACATTTTACAGCGACTGTCTAAGTACTATTTTGGGACAACAGGTTCACATGCAGCTAATGATCCAGAAATAGGGGCAAAATAAAGCACTCTTCATCCACTGATCATATGCTGGCCCAAAGTAGCTAAGTTATAACCTCAGAGGGCAATCAATGAGTTTTTTACGGTCATACTTGAGACCATCTATTGTTTAAGCCCAGGAAGGATTTTCGGTCTAGTGCATGTACTGACCATAAACTGTCTTATTAATCTTTCTGTTATTCCATTAGCACTTTGATGCTAGATTCCATTGCACAACCATCCAGAACTGTGTTGCCCAACATGGCAGCCACTAGCCATTGACCAAATAGAAGTAAAATTAAATAGAAGTCCAAATTGAAGTAAAAATTAAATAGAAGTTCGATTCTTCAGTCACACTAACCCTATTTCAATTGCTCCATAACCAATGTGGCACATGGCTACTGTAATGGACAATATAAGCAACTGAACATTTCTGGAATCATTTAAGTTCCAAACAATGTCAACCTAACAGATCCTCAGGGCTGCACCAGCAACGGGTTTAAACCACAAGGGACCCATTCATAAGTCATATGTAAGATTAAACTTAAAGAAAATGCCTCATAGCTTTCTCATCATAAAAGTATGACTGGAACTGAGAACTCATTTGTCTTTTCATCACAACTTATGCCCCAGGTCATGATACAAAAATTTCCCAAAGACAACACTTTTTGATAGCACACTTGGCTCTACTTAACATATTGAGCATTCCCTTGCTTATGTCAAGATCATTAATAAAGAGGAAGATTCATGCTTCTTATAGTTTACTATTTACACACCTCTCATCGTTCTTTACATTGAGGGGAAGGAGTTGGGAAACTAATGTTTTGCACCTTAAAAAAATTCAAATCACATGGTTTCCTTGAAACGTCCATACAGAACCCTTATCAGCCCTCCTTCCATAGGCTTTCATTTCCCAGAGAGGTAGATGCTAAATAAAATGAATATATAAATCCACCAACGCAATCAAAATCCAAACAATAGCTAAGAAAGGGTATTCCTCCACCCTGAAAAAACATCAGAGCCTGGGAGCGATGTCAAAGTGCAATGTCTCCCTTTCGCTGCAGAATTCCAAATCACCATGTACCTCTAGGGGTCTTGGTGGACTCACGTACAAAATGAAATCTCCAGAGGATGCCTTCAGCTCCAGCTTCCTGTGCTTTCAGATGTGATTTTTTTTTTCCATCGATGTGTCACTGTGCGTGCTGGCCAATTGTGTCACTGGACTGGATGAGCTGTTAGTGTCAGGGGTAAATGCCAGAAGAAGCCGGAGCAAGGGTATGCCAAATAACATGAAAACATGATAAAGTCTATAAAAATTCTACCTGGCAGCTTGGGACATCACACACACACACACACACACACAACCACGCATTAACAAACAGATGCATACTAGTAATGCAGGTAGAATCCACTGAACGTTTTTATATCAGTAAAACTCACCCGCAAAAGTCTGATTTAGATGGCCGTTAACTTAAATTGTAAAGTCAAGAACCTATCATAGACCGATTTAATTTTGTACTGCTTTGTCGCAGCTCTAGCTCAGAATTGTCTTTAAGTTCAAGTTACTTGGACGTTTTTACTCTACAGCTTTGCACTAAAAAACAGAGGTTGCTGTATGGTGACACATGTTAGTGTCTATATATATATAACCTAACGCACACTACACTGCAGAAACAGTCAAATCATCTGCACACTAACACAGCGGATTGCATTCACAAAACTAACTTGAATGTGGCATGGCTTAAAATGGAAAAGGCAAAGTACATTAGAAACACTGAATGAAAAATGCAACATTTCTGTGGGGGTTATTTTTCCCACCGGAAGGAATGAAAATTAGGTCAGACATGCATCACGGCAGCATGAGAAATTCTGACAAACTGACACTAACCCCAACAATCTAGTTTTACATAACAGAAGATATTATTCAGCTAATACACCAAATTTACTAATACCCGAGAAATTCTTATCATTGGTTGTATAATGCCCAATAGCTTACACAATAAATTAGCGTTTTACCTAATTTCTAGTTTGAGCTTTCAAATACATCTCCTAAAGGCCTTAAGACAAATTTGAAAGATTTGAAAAACTAGAGCTCATATATTCATATTGAATCCTCATGCCAATGAAACAGCTTTGAATGCTACTCATTTTATTCTTGGTCCCCCCCCCCACCTCAACCCCAATTAATCCCATTACTCTGATGCATGTATTTTGTAAGTAAATTAAATTGTCTCGATCTCATAGGGCTCTTTCTAGTCTTGGTTTTTGGAACACGCTACTGCTTATCTTCCCCACCACTGTTCTCAGGGGTTCGGTGGAACAAAACCAGATCTATTTATGAGTAGAGTCCTTATAATGTACTGCGTGCTTCATCAATTTTATAAAAGAAATTAGAAACTTGGAACGTTTATGGCCATTTCCAAATGCGCACATTTAACACGGGCATTTTTTTTCACAAGCATCTATCGACCATGACAGATTTAAGAATATCTGAGGATTTATGACAAACCAGTCCTCTGAAATTGGAATGTGAATTGTTAGTTTCCCTTGTTGCTTTTCTTCCTACAAAAATACTTTTTAAGTTTCAAGACCCTTCCTCACTGATATCAATGATTATCCTGTTGGATTTCTCAAATGATGTAAATCTCATGGAACAGAAGCTTCCAGCACGTAATCAGGGACTAGCTACTGAAACACCCATCCAGTTGTCAGCAGTTAACAACATTCACAACTTTTAAAACAACCCCAACTGGAAGGACAAGATAGATGTTTCTGATGCTATCCATTTGCACATCACAGAACACAGGAGCAGAATACAGAGAAGAAGAGACAGTGTGATAATTTAGCGGCACCATCATGAACTGAGTCCCAGGGCACACAGGCTGGCCCCTTGCTCCAGACCCTGGGTGCACTCCTGCCCACAAAGTCTTACTCCCAGGATTCTTCTAAAAAGACTCAGAACCTGAGGTAAATGACACAAACACAACACCCAACCCCCCTACACAAATACACAATATTTACATTTAAGATTCTCATTTTGTGAGATGGCTTAAGAAAAATTGATATCCACGTTTCCTGTGGGATTTAGCATTTCCCATTATTACTCAGCTTACTGCTCCCCTGTTGGGCTTTCAGTTTAATAAACACGGAGCAAGCTCTAATTACAAGGAAAGAAAAATGAAGGTACATGACAAAACACAGCACATCGCAAACATGGGTTCACATATTTTTCTTCAGAGGGGGGGAAAAAAAAGAGGACTATCTGTTGAACTAATTTTAATTTGGGTGCCATTTGAGAAGTAGAAAAAGTCTTAGTAATGGAATGAAGACGAGTTTTCAGTTTAAAAAAAAAAAAAGAAAAAGAAGTAAGGACACAGCACTGCCCATCTTCCAGAAGCTTCGGGCGGATTCTCAAGTCCATCTGAGTCTTCTCCTGGCCCGAGGAGCAATTTTTTTTCTCATCCACATTGGACCACATCGGATGCTACTTGCACAGTTTCACATCTAGCGAGAAAAACGTCGATCTGGAAATGTGATTCTGACAAGTCGTTGAGTTAAGAGTCCATGGAAAGATGAGGAGGAGGAGGAGAAGAAGGATGCATGCAATCAGAGTCGGAGCTGAGGGGTCTGTCGCCTCTGGCCGACACCTTCCCTTCTGCTGTGTGTGTGTGTGTGTGTGTGTGTGTGTGTGTGTGTGTGTGTGTGTGTGTGTGTGTGGTGTCTGCGGGCAAATCAAGTGGCAGCCCACAGGCAGCGCCCGGCACCCAATGATCAGCATTGCCCCCTGTTTCTCACCGCCATCCCCTCAACCAACACCTGCTCCGCCCCTAGTTGGCACCCACAGGAGACGTCCCTGTGGCCGCCTTCAGCCACAGGATATCACCGTGAAGCGCTTGGAGATGCAGGACATGTTGTGGAGCACGATGCCCAGCAGGAAGACCAGCACGCAGGCCACCAGGATGACCGTGCACACCCCCGACCATGTGGAGCTCTTCACCACGCCCGCCCGGCGCTCGGGCTCCTCCTCAACCGCCTCGGGGGACGCCCCACCTTGCAGGGGCTGCTGCTCGGCGGGGATGGTCACCACGGTCACCGACTTCTGCTGACCGCCGGGCAGCAGGCGGCAGCCCAGGTCCCCAGGCAGCAGCGCTCGCTCCTTGGAGACGGGCAGGGGCAGCATGTAGCACCCGTTGCTGGGCAGTTTGATGAAGACGGGCGTGTGCTCGGACGCATGCGGGATGGCGATGACAGCCAGGACCTCGGGGTCGTCGGGGAGCTGCGATATGGAGAAGCCCGGGGGCAGCTTGGTGATGCCCCGGCACCAGGGGCAGCGCACGTCCTTCTGGCTGGTCCTCATCTGCTGCAGACACACTGAGCAGCACGTGTGGCGGCAGTCCAGCAGCTTGGGTCGCCGCCGCGGGCTGTAGTAGTTGAAGCAGATCTGACATTCCAGCAGGGAATCCTGCGACACCGTCTCCATCCTGCACGGCCCAGGGCAAGGCGCGGCTGCTCGGGGTCCACCGCTCCCCGGGGGGCCTCCTTCTGGGCTTTCCAAAGTGGGCAGGCCGGGTGGGAGCTCAGGCACATCTAGAGGCTTCCGTCCAGGGTGTGTATTTTCTGGAGGAGAAATAAAAAGATGCCCGAGTTAATGCTTTCATACAAAGCGGAGACACCAGTAGCCTGTCTGACACTGTCCCCACAGCTCTGGTCTTGGAAAAGTGTGACCACTTCCCACCCACAAATGGCCTGGTGGGACCTGAGGCGTTGCCCGTGGCAGTCTGTCCTGGCCAGCGGCACTACACAATGCTCCCATGCTTCATAGACTCTGCCTCCTGCGCTTCCCTGGACTCGGGGCTCGGTCTTCTCAGACACTGTGGAGGAATTCTCTTTCCAATAACTTGGTAGCATCTCCTAAGAGTCCCGCCCGTCTCCTGAGGTGACTTACCCTGCAATCAGTGACCAGCTGCAGGTAACTTTACAAATCAGGTCATTGGTTTACTCATCTTGAGTTCAGATCTTTCCTCACTCAATGGGTAATTAAAATGCCACCCAAGGAACACAGGAAGACACCTGAGGTCTTTTCCACGCAAACCTTTGAAACAAGTGAATTCTGCCCAATTCTGGCTTGATAATGAGACAAAACCCTAACAAAGAGCAGTGCTCATCAATCACCCCTCAGGGTTCCTGAGGACCCCCCCAGAGGCCCACAGGAGCAGGAATATTCTGATTTTTGGTGCTTTTTAGTACACTGCTATTTCTCAGCGTACCAAGAAACAGAACTACAAGCAACTACTATTAATCCACTGCTCACGCTCAAGCATTAATTACATAGTGAATGTGGTCACAGCACGGCAGGCATCTCTTACCAGGAGAAATAAAGAACAGCGTTGGCCTCTTGGAATCAAGGGAAGCCCTTAGTTCCGTCCACCAAAGCTGTGTGAGGGAGCCTTGGGGTTTGAGCAGGGCTTCATTATAGACTGTCCCCCTGGGTTTCCCATTGAATGGGCCCAAATTGTGCGTCTCAGCACACTCTTAAAAGAACTATTCAACTCTATTGTCAAAATAATTACTAGGCCTAGGGCTCCACCTACTCCCTGAGGCAGGATCTAATAACACACTTCAGATTTTTTCTTAAAACCCTTTTTTCCCCTCAGGTTTTTCTTAAAACTCTTTTTTTCTTTCTAGTTCCTTTGTGAAATTTAAAAAGTAGCCCCATGATACATGATTTGTTAAGATCAAAGTTCAGAAAGTAGAATAAGTCTAAAAAGCCTGAAAAAAAGTCTCAACTGACAAAAGTTAGCAGTGGCCATCCAATGATTTAAAAGCTGACTAGACTACAGCATACCTAAATTAAAGTTCAGGATACCTAAATTAAAAAGTAAAATAATATCTAGAAATATTTAGAAAAATTGCATTTAGAGGTATTCAAAATGTCCATAGAATTTTTAAGACCTGACACATCATCATTTTTAACCAAATCAAGAAAAAATCTTATGAATTTATGTTCTGTGCGGTAGGGTTCCCTTAGAATTAGATTGCTTGACTCAATATCCGATACTGTCCAAGTGAACTTTGCTTTTCAAGAACAAAACAATAATTGAAATTTGCAAGTGAGTAGAACTGAAATGAACCACACAGCATAGGGGTCTGGAATGGAGATATTGTACAGTAGGTAAAGCACTGCATGTGACTGACCTGGGTTTAATTTCTGGCACCCCATATGATCCTCTGAGCCCTGCCACGAATGATCCCTGACCACAGAACCAGGAGTAAACCCTGAATACAGCCAGTGTGGCCCCAAAATCAAACCAAAAAGCTAAATAAGGGAATTCTCTCACCACTCTGTATGTATATCAAACCTCCCTGATGTGTGTACTTTATTTGACCATTAATTGTATTTCACCAAAATGAAATTATTATTTTTTTAAAAAAGAAACATGTATGCAGAATCTGTCCTACAAATGGCACCATTCTAGTTACTGTAGGACAGAAAGATGAATCACACCCATTTCCTACTCATGCATAATTCAAAGTCAGGAAAGAATGAACAGAAGAACATATTCTCTTCCACTCTAGCTCTTCAAACCCACACTGAATACCCTATGTCAAGCATTATGATATTTACTTTTGTTTCCTGGAAGACCTTGTCTCAGAATGAGAAAGGACAGCCTGGAGGAACTTAAACACTGATAAATACCAAGTGGTACATGCTGTCCAGAGGCCCAGGAATCAGGGACGGCTCCATGGAAAATCTGGATTACTAAAGGATTTAGACAGGTAAAATCAGGGAACAGATTGCCTTCAGGATAAGAAACCAGCACAGCGGAGAAAGGACAGAATACTTCCCAACACTCAGCTCTGACACAGGTTACAGGAGTGTCAGGCACTTCACTAAGAGTTGAACAGCGTTAGTTCTTAAGCTTCTGTCTTTGACACAGATCCCTTTTAAAGACACGGAATCCCACAGGGACTGGACAGATGAGCACACCCAGAGGACGACACAAGCCGCAGACCACAGACCTAGACCGCAGACTGCCCTGAGGGCCGGGCCCAGCAGGACACAGAACAAGGTTTGGCATCTGCTTCCTCTCTGGCTGGGGAGGGATGATGGAGTTGACGGAGTTACAGCTGAAGTGGGAGTGCCAAGAGTTCACTCAGGGCCAGGTCCTGACGGGCCCAGCAGCACCGCTGCCTCCTCCCTGGCAAACACACGTCCCAGGCGAGATACCCCCGCACTCCTCCTCCCCCTCAGAGCACTGCCATTTTGAACAGCTTGGGAGGAGGGCCACAAGCCTTCTCCTTGGCCTTGCCCCAGGCCTGCCACACCATCATTTTTCAACCAAACCAATGTGCACTTTTATTCACAAATTTATGTTCCAAGTAATGCTCACTTAATTGGTGTTGAGCTCCCTTAAAATTAAATTATACGACTCAATTTCCAATGCTCTCCAAGTGAGTTCTAGGCCGTAGAGCACGGGCTGAACTCCAAGGCAGGAAGGAACAACAGCTCCTATTTTGGGATCGGTCACTCAAGTGCTTTGGACACCAGCCCCCCCTCTGATTGATATTCAGATTTGATCTATATTAAGCCAACCTGCATTCCTGTGTATTTTCTGAAGTCTAATTAGTAATGATGGTGATTAGTTAGGTAAAGAGAAGAAAATTTATGAGGCTCTGGACCGAAGCGAATGATGAATCATTCCTTCTCCCTTTCATCATAAACTCGAAAGATGTTGAGTCAACGACCGAAGAAAGAAAGGGACTAGGAACAAGGTTTATGGAGAAGAGAAGCTCAGAACTCCGGGCCTAGGGAATGTGACACAAATACACAGTCGCTTGGCGAGTGCTATAGGACTTGCCAGGATGTCTGGTCTTACTTGCATTCCTTACAGCAGTGAGATCTGAAGCGAAGATAAAATATTCATTAACTCTAAAAGGGAAGAGGACTTTGGCAGCATGCATAAGCGCAAGTATAGACGGAAATATCTTGGAACAATTTTTTTAAATGTCACTACAATTTACTTTGAAAGAACTTACACCAGCGATCAAAGAGAAAAGCACTACATTAAAAAAAAAAAAAAGGAAGAGCCATGAACGGAGGGCGTTCTTAAAGCAATTATGACATATAAGATAGAATTTATTTTCACACATCTCTTCATAAAATGGCACTTAGATCCATAAATATTATCAACTGCTCAACACAGAGATAAAAGGCATTGAGTCATCACTGAACTCGATATTTATGCAGACTTTGGTTTTAAAAGACCAGAAAAAGAAGATGAAGATTTGTGTTTATGGAGGAAAATGTGTTGTGTGGGGAACGTCATAAACCAAAGTGGTGCATATGTCAGAGTTGGTTGGGGGCACTGGAGATTTGGTACTTTACAACAGTCACATTTTTTCACACAACAAGCTTTCTTTTCCAAAAAAAAAAAAAAAAAAGAAACTGCAAACACTTTTATAAAAGGAGTGGATGGGACAGCACACTCCTACAAATTTAGCTGGAGCAAATGGTCTCCAACATTGTTTATAGCCCCAGATGCACCTGAAAGTCCAGAAATATGTGGATTTAAAAATCTGGAATAAATAAAAATCCAGATCTTAATTTTTTTAAAAAAATAATTTTACTGTATTGAGACTCTTTCTGTATTGTGATTCAGATTTATGACGGTTGCATTAATGAGAAAACCTCCCCTTGGAACAATGGAAGACCCTGAATTCAATGGTGGTGTTGAGAAAAATCTCCAAGAAAGAGACAAAACTCCACCTTATCTGTACTGCTTTCTTCGTCTATTGAAATAATGTTTTTCCGATGCAGGCCATTAACTCAGTTCTTCAAGAAATCGTACACAGTTGAAATGGGAGCAAACAAAATAATTACAATTCCATTTAATTTGGGAGTGCAATTGGCAACACCACTTGGTTATACTGGTGGATCTTAGCAAATACTCTGCTGAGTGGCAAAAACTGGACTAGACTGGTGTGGTGGTGAGAGACTTTAGACCGCTGGTAATTGAGAACAATCCTTTTAGGAAACAAGAAGAGCGTCTAACACAAGGAGAGTTCAATTGGTACGATTACAATCTTTGTCTCAATAAAAAAAAGGCAGCAGACTCCAGAGGCTTGAAATCTCAAATGAGAATTCCTTTGGCCTGAGTGCTAAGATTTGGGCTGTTTCCTCCTCTGCTGCATCCTGTTTGCTCTTTTGGAAAATGCAAAGAATGCAGCCAGTGGGCATGTCACTCACCAGTCCCTGCACCATTGTGAGTGGGGCAGGGGGCAGTGACAGACAGTCCTGGAAGCAAGCAAGGTAGGACAGAGATTGTCTTTGTTAACAGGAGGAGAGCAGCAGACCAGCCAGATGCCAAGGTCAGATGAGGTCAGCCTGGGGACAAGGATGCTCAAGGACTGGCCCTGCTGGCCCTGACCGCTGGAACAACGAAACTCTGGTCTCCAGAAAATGCATTTACTTTAGGAACATTTCACTGAAGACAAATTAGGAAGAAGATGAATGAATCTGACCCATCCCTGGTTCGATGGCACATAAATAAAAATCAAAGTACCTTTAGAATCAAGAAATTTTTAGGAAATAAAGTCAAATTCTACTATGGCCAAGA